CATTGTCTCCAAACACAACAATTACAAGTATTTTCCTGGTTTTGTTATTATAGCTGGTATTTAAAGAGAGAGAAATTATTTAAGCTCAATGTGAAGCTAAACCTAAAACATGCCATAATTAACTGACAAAGTCCACTAATCCACTAATTGTTAAAATCTTAATTGATGAAATTTTTACCAATTAAGATGTTCTTGCTTATATATAAAAACATTAGGTAGGTCTGGTGAGGAATTTAACACAAATATTGATGCCACAGCCATTACTAAGCTGCCAACAGAAAGGTAATGCCTATGTTTCTACGACTGTCACATGTGACAATGAAAACAAACTATGGAAACCTGTTTCAGGACATATGAACTGACAAGGGTTACACTATAAATATGGCCTCACCAATTTCATGACAAGGACATACTTTCAGTAATCTAATCTTGGTGACATTTGACCTTGAGAATGTTGTCAATGTTGTTGAGTGGAGAAATGCGAGTCTACATTATATTCACAGACAGACACAGAAGTAACCAATTTTGTGTATAAATAGTTCTGGTAATGATGTGGGACCTTCTCAGAAATTGTATTATTGCAATAAATGTTTTGTATAAATTCAATTTTTTATTAAACGTTGGAAACAATCAGAATAAATCGAAACATTCTTATTTTGTGATTCAGTATATCTAGATTTTTTCATGGTCTGACCTTACTGTAGTAATTACTATAGTCTTAGCTCCTCACCTAGAAGTTCATCTTCTACAACATGACTCGAAGTAAAAGCTGCTTGATTTCTCTACAGACAGAAAGGGAATTCCCACAAGTTGAAACATGTAAGGTAAGCTGTACTATCCCGTTTTACTGTTATCATTAAACATGTGTTCTTACATTAATTACACTACTGAGCTAACTGCTCTCTGTGTGTCTGTGTCCCTACCTCCCTCCCTGTTCTTATACCTATGTGACTAATACTACACTCTTACTGGTCATTTCTGATAACCTGTCTTAATCACTGATCTTATTCAGTATTCAGAATCTGTCTTAATCATAGACCTTATTCAGTATTCAAATCTGTCTTAATCACGGACCTTATTCAGTATTAAGAATCTGTCTTAATCACTGACCTTATTCAGTATTAAGAATCTGTCTTAATCGGGGACCTTATTCAGTATTAAGAATCTGTCTTAATCACTGATCTTATTCAGTATTAAGAATCTGTCTTAATCACGGACCTTATTCAGTATTCAAATCTGTCTTAATCACAGACCTTATTCAGTATTAAGAATCTGTCTTAATCACTGACCTTATTCAGTATTTAGAATCTGTCTTAATCACTGATCTTATTCAGTATTAAGAATCTGTCTTAATCGGGGACCTTATTCAGTATTAAGAATCTGTCTTAATCACTGACCTTATTCAGTATTAAGAATCTGTCTTAATCACGGACCTTATTCAGTATTCAAATCTGTCTTAATCACAGACCTTATTCAGTATTTAGAATCTGTCTTAATCACTGATCTTATTCAGTATTAAGAATCTTTCTTAATCACGGACCTTATTCAGTATTCAAATCTGTCTTAATCACAGACCTTATTCAGTATTCAGAATCTGTCTTAATCACGGACCTTATTCAGTATTCAGAATCTGTCTTAATCACTGACCTTATTCAGTATTCAGAATCTGTCTTAATCACGGACCTTATTCATTGTTCATAATCTGTCTTATTCACTGACCTTATTCAGTATTCAAATCTGTCTTAATCACGGACCTTATTCAGTATTAAGAATCTGTCTTAATCACTGACCTTATTCAGTATTAAGAATCTGTCTTAATCGGGGACCTTATTCAGTATTTAGAATCTGTCTTAATCACTGATCTTATTCAGTATTAAGAATCTGTCTTAATCACGGACCTTATTCAGTATTCAAATCTGTCTTAATCACAGACCTTATTCAGTATTAAGAATCTGTCTTAATCACTGACCTTATTCAGTATTTAGAATCTGTCTTAATCACTGATCTTATTCAGTATTAAGAATCTGTCTTAATCGGGGACCTTATTCAGTATTAAGAATCTGTCTTAATCACTGACCTTATTCAGTATTAAGAATCTGTCTTAATCACGGACCTTATTCAGTATTAAGAATCTGTCTTAATCACTGACCTTATTCAGTATTAAGAATCTGTCTTAATCACTGATCTTATTCAGTATTCAGAATCATTTCCTACAATGACTACTTTCTTATTAACAACCTTGATTATAAAAAATCTACATATTTCAACTTACAATCCAAACAAAAATCTCTATAAAATGACACACAAGTATCCATATATTCTAAAAACCTTTACTCTGGAAGGTATTTGTCACCCTGTAAGAGGTATCTGTCACCCTGTAAGGTATCTGTCACCCTGTAAGGTATCTGTCACCCTGTAAGGTATCTAATTGTCACCCTGTAAGGTATCTAATTGTTGCCCTGTAAGGTATCTAATTGTTGCCCTGTAAGGTATCTAATTGTCACCCTGTAAGGTATCTAATTGTTGCCCTGTAAGGTATCTAATTGTCACCCTGTAAGGTATCTAATTGTCACCCTGTAAGGTATCTAATTGTTGCCCTGTAAGGTATCTAATTGTTGCCCTGTAAGGTATCTAATTGTCACCCTGTAAGGTATCTAATTGTTGCCCTGTAAGGTATCTAATTGTTGCCCTGTAAGGTATCTAATTGTCACCCTGTAAGGTATCTAATTGTTGCCCTGTATAGTATCTAATTGTTGCCCTGTGTGGTATCTAATTGTCACCCTGTAAGGTATCTAATTGTTGCCCTGTATGGTATCTAATTGTTGCCCTGTGTGGTATCTAATTGTCACCCTGTAAGGTATCTAATTGTTGCCCTGTATGGTATCTAATTGTCACCCTTTCAGGTAGTAACATAAGTTAATTTGCTGATCTTTAATGAACATCTAAATTTTCTAGCGTATATTCCCGGTAAACTTGTAACCTCTATATCTATCATCCCTTCTCATCATACATTCATAATGTCTACATACAACCACCCTGTATACAACACTTGTGATATTAGTATATGTAACTTATTGTGTCTCATAACCTTTCTGGTATAGGAATATCACATTTATATACATATATATATATAGAATCTAGTGAGTAATTTCGATGGTACGGTCCAACACATTGGCACTGGATCCTAACAAACAAGTGTTGGATGTGTATTACTGGAACAGATACATGATCAATGAAGTAATGACAACAGTACAGATGAGTGAACTGTCAAATCTTCTAAGCAATCTGCCCCTTTATCAAGACAATAATAATAAATAAATTACATCACATCTATTGATGGTTGTGGTATGAAAGATGGCGATTCAAATATAAAAAATATTTTATATAAATGTTGGTATGTTGTGTACTGTGGCCACTGAGCCTATATGTGATCACAGAGAAAATAATTTCTTTCACATTCCAAGGAAAGTAGTTTACCAGTACACAAAGGAATTGTTTGATTAAAGATAAAAAAATTCATTGTGAAAAAATGAATGAATGAATGAATGAATGAATGAATGAATAGTTACAATTAAATGTATTAAAAATCACCAGTTAAATGCACCAAATTTAAAAATAAATATATTGAATGTGGTTAATTAGGCCCCAGATTCATCAACTCGCCTACAAAAACTGGTCCCAGAAAACTAGATTTTCTACTTCCAGACTAGAGTTAATAATTGGCACCAATCTTAAATAGGAACAAATGCAGAGCCTTAGGAAAAGAATGAGGAATGCAATAAATCTGGAAAGGAAGTAATGAGGGAAAAACATAGGGTAGGGGTGGGGGCAATCCTATTCCTATATGAGTTGGTGGCGTAAGATGTACTGATTGCCAGGTTGAAGAATCAAGATCATCTCTTGTTCTTGCCGACAGGGTAGCAAGTTTTGAGTATGTTAATCCAGTGTCGTTCCTTACTGAGGAGTTGCTGGTCACCCCAATTCCTGCAGTGGTCAGTGGGTACCACCTGCATGTCATGCCACATATGGCTTTGCATGATGAAAAGTCTCCCTACAGGCGTTTCTGTTAGTACTGGTAGGAGCAATTAATACCAAACCTTATATATTTACTGCTTTGTCCTGCTCCTCGTACTGCTCCTCGTACAACCAAGATTAAATTAAAACCTTCACATATACCACTTTGTTACCCTTTTACTATGACCAATTTAAGTCAAAATTTTCTCTTTGACCTATATATACTCTCAATGCAATCATTTTTGTTTTACAATATTGAATCCTGAATGGAAGTATATAGGATGTATTGTGTAGATTTCATCTTAAGTCAGTCAAACTGCACAGATCCCTTTAAACCTGTATTTCTAGACACTATCTATAATTATCACTAGACATGATACTGGATATCATAGCCAGTCTGTTTACTGTATCATTTGACACTATACTGGGTATCACTAGCCAGTCTGTATACTGTATCACCAGACACTATACTGTATCACTAGACACTATACTGTATCACTAGACACTACACTTTATCACTAGGTATCACAGCCAGTCAGTATACTGTATCACTAGACACTATACTGTATCACTAGACACTATACTGGGTATCACAGCCAGTCTTTATACAGTATCACCAGACACTATACTGTATCACTAGACACTATGCTGTATCACTAGACACTATACTGGGTATCACAGTCAGTCAGTATACTGTATTACTAGACACTATACTGTATCACTAGACACTATACTTTATCACTAGACACTATACTGGGTATCACAGCCAGTATGTACACTGTATCACTAGATACTATACTGTATCACTAGACTTTATACTGTTTCACTAGACACTATACCGGGTATCATCAGCCAGTATATATCCTGTATCACAAGACACTATGCTGGGTATCACAGCCAGTCTGTATACTGTATCACTTAACATTATACTGGGTATCATCAGACACTCTTTATACAACTTATTCTATAATAAAGGAAAGCCTCACCATCACTGTTATTTTCTTCCACGACGGGTTCAGAGCTGCTGATGTTGTTACCCGTCTCATCACAAATCACAATCGCAGGTGAGACAAGAAATCGACTGCTGCCTGCCGCTTTACTATCAGGTACATTTCCAGCTTTTGGACTAGCAGTCTGTGCGCTTTCCTCTGTAGGAGATGAAGGTGCCTCTACATCTCCATTTTGTGTGAGCGGGTCAGTCACCGCATCGGTCAATTCGTTTGAGGCAGGAATCTCGTCCCCACTGCTTCCACCCTCATCAGCAGCGTGTGTTGGGACTTCCTTGTACTGGACAGGTGCCCCACTCTTTAGATTCACCATGACCACATATACAGGTTATTATAATCACAATCTTTTTCCTTTTCTAAATTCAGAGTGGATTATGATATTCTTGAACTTTAGATGATTCACCAGGTGTTCCAAGTTCACAATCGCACACTTATTTTGAATTTTACACTTGAACTTTCACAATGACAGCTGATTTCACAACAGCTGATTCAATTTCACAACAAATTCCACGATAAATTTCACAAATAAATTCCAAGATACAGAGGTATCGAGACAAAAGCACACTGAAGTGTTGTACAAGTTAAAAGAACAAGTCACAGACACAATATCATTCAAAAATATTCACAAATAAATCTTCATAAATATCCAGGAATGATTCAAGCACTGGAATATTCACCACTTTAATTTTCCTGAATTAATAACATTAACACAAAAACTGTTATAACTGGACAACTGTTGTATTTTAACAGATAATTTCCAACATTGGTACCTATCTATATTATGATAAGGTTACACACACAATTCCTGTTATACTATACACAGCACATAACATTAGACAATCAAGCCATGTTACACCACAGGTCTTAAATATATAAAACGGATCCACAAATGTAAACTGCTAAGTAAAATTGAAGAGATCAGAGAGAAAGTGGCACAGACACGTGTTTTCTTGGTTTGGTGATCTGCTGGTTTGAAGTGTTGGCGTCCCACTATACTACGCTGCTGCCTGTTTCTCACTGGAGTGTGTTGTAGCTTCACCACTACTACACCTCCCCTATCGTACCAGTCGCCCAATCTTTGGACTATTTATATCACAGATACACAGATAAGTGATGTTATCTCCCTACTATACACTAAATATTCCATCAAGTCATCAGCCACCTTTGAAAAAATAATCTATAAAATTCACAAGTTTTCTAGTAATTTCTTCAAAATTGACAACAGGAGTTACAAGCTGATGTAATGGAATGAGAGAGTTTCCTGTTAAACAGTACACTGACAGGGAAGTACACACAACGCCCATGGAGTCTCTATACAGGTATCTGTTGACACAGAATATTAATCCAACCCGCTTTTCTTCTTTCACCTTTAAATTTAATGTTTGAATTTTCCATCAATACAATTACATGAACCATGAGTAATACCAGCTACCCTTGAGAACTCTGGGGTCCCTCCTAATCACAGTATAGTATCTACAGCTTTTCCTGAATAACTCCTAGTAAAGCCAACTACTCCTGGGTAACTTATTGAAACTACAGTTCCTGAGTAATTTAAAGAAACACCAACTCCTGAGTAACTCCCAGTAACTCTAACTGCATTTGAGTAACTCTCATTAACTCCACCTGATTAACTCCCAGTAACTCCCACTCTAATAGCATAACCCTAAAAACTCAAAATACTTCACCTAAGAAGTTCCTAATAACTCTCTTAGTGGCCCTTACTCCTCCTGAGAAACCTTGTAACCCCCCTCCCCTTAACTCTAATCCTTTCTTAGTACCTCTTAGTAACTCTAACTCCTCCTGAAAATCCTTCTTAGTAACCTTTACTCCTCCTGAACCCCCCCCTCCCCTTAACTCTAATCCTTTCTTAGTACCTCTTAGTAACTCTAACTCCTCCTGAGAAACCTTGTAACCCCCCTCCCCTTAACTCTAATCCTTTCTTAGTACCTCTTAGTAACTCTAACTCCTCCTGAGAAACCTTGTAACCCCCCTCCCCTTAACTCTAATCCTTTCTTAGTACCTCTTAGTAACCTTTACTCCTCCTGAGAAACCTTGTAACCCCCCTCCCCTTAACTCTAATCCTTTCTTAGTACCTCTTAGTAACCTTTACTCCTCCTGAGAAACCTTGTAACCCCCCTCCCCTTAACTTTAATCCTTTCTTAGTACCTCTTAGTAACCTTTACTCCTCCTGAGAAACCTTGTAACCCCTTCTCCTGCTTAACTCTAATCCTTTCTTAGTAACTCCTAGTAACTCCCAACTCCTTTTTGAGTAATTCATAATAACTAAATTTCTCTGGATTCCTGATAAAATTCTATTTACTCCAACACATCCTGAAATTACTTTTTAGTAACTCTATCTCCTCATGAGTAAATCCCAGTTACACAAGCACCTGAATAACTCTAGGTAAAATCAAATCATCCTGAACAATCCTTGAGACTATAACTCCTACTGAATAATTACTAGTAACTCAACTCTTCCTGAGTAAATTCTAGTTACTCCAATAACTCCCCTCCTGAGTTACTTCTAGTAACTCCAACACCGCCTGAGCAACTCCCATTTAATCCACCTCTTCCTGAGAAAGATTTACTCTTGGTAACTTAATAAACCTCCTGAGTAACTCCTTGAGACTAAATCTCTTCTTGTGTAACTCCATGTGACTCCAACTCTTCCAGAGCAACACGTGAATGACTCAAACACCTCCTGAATATCATCATGAAGCTATTTTTGAGTAATTCCTCATAACTCTGGCTACTCAGGAGTTAGGCTGTGAGACTCGAGCTCCTCAAAATCAACTTTAGTTCTTCCTGCAGTACTCCTAGTGACTCAGTCTCCTCTAGAGTAAATACTAGTAACTAACTTGAGTAACTCAAGGCAATTTCAGTTTGACACAAGTTCTTCCAACAACAATTCCAGTATTTCTGACCAACACCACTATCCTTATGAGTTACTATTAGCAACTCAAACTGTGCCTGGGTAGCAAAAATTAACTCAATCTCTTACAAAATCACTTCAGCTCTCCTAGATTCCTGCTTTGAATGATTCTATTTGTCTTACCAAATGACTCCTGATGAGTAACTGTAGTTTTCCCTGGGTGAATCTGAGTAACACATATTGTAGGGTTGTCGGGTGGCGCAGTGGTAACACACTTGCCTTTCACCTAGCCGTCCAGGGTTTGATTCCCGGAACGGGCGTGATTAGGCTTAGAGTCACCTGCCCAACCACATTGGTTTTCCCTGGGTACTCCAGTTTCCTCTCACATTAACACCTCCTGTGCACTTCTATCCCGGCCAACAAGAGTGATCACCTGTTTTACAATTTTATATTTTTAACTCATTTTCCTTAGAAGTAACTCATTCCTAATACAAATATTTAAAGCACATCCTGTAACGCTTACTATATAAAGCAAGTTAGGATTTTTTTTTTTTTTTTTTTCTTTCGTCATTTAATTCAAGTTCATCAGAATATTATTGATATTGGTAAAAATGTATCAGTGAACCATATGGAACAGACCATGTTATAGTTTCCTCCAGAATATAACTCCCAAATATTTACAGACTACTTGGCACTTGTACCAGTATGTTAGAGGTATTTACTACCTACATTCTTGGTTCACATACTTAACTATGGCTGTTAATATGACGAGTATTTATTCCTAGATGCAGTGAATTCTGGCCACATAAACAGGATCTTGCAGGATCTTGCATAATTAAGACCCCTACAAACAGATAAGTATGTAAATCTAATTCTGAAAATTCAGGTCTTTTCTCCAAATAGAGACTGTTTTTATATACATTTTACTACACATCAATACTTAAGATCACACAAACCTTTAGCAGACCATCTTTATGTTAGAATTCAAATGTATTCAAGAAGCTATAAAAATACTCTGTGCACTCACAATTGTTACAGTGCGAGTGTAGAATTTAAGAAAACCAGTAACCTTACTTAGTGCTGGCCAGTAGGAATTTCCCTTCAGTCACTAGTCAGAATCCCAATGGGAAAGAATGAAGTCACCAAGAGTTTAAACTGAACTAGTTAATATCTTCTATAAAGCACCAATGACCTTGACCTTTTACCTCTGAAACACAACAATGTCCAAAGTACACTCATACTTGATTGTTGCGTAAAGTTAGACCAAAATTCCTGAAAGAATGAATTGACTAAGTGTTTGAATTGAATCAGTTGATGATTTTCTATATATAGCAAGGGTGACCTTGACCTTGGGCCCCTGAAACACAGTATTATCCGAAGTATATTTATAATTGACACTTGCATAAAGTTGGACCGAAATCTGCCAGATGCTTACATTGAATTAGGATGGGATGGGATGCGATGAAGCCGACATGGACCATAGTATTTGCCTCCCCATTTTATGAAGGGGACATAAAAAATTACATCACAACTTCAAAGAAAGCCAAAACATCTTTTCTTGTTTTTCCTTTTCATGATCAGATTTCAGAAACATTTTTGTAGAATTATGACAAGCTCTCTACATAAAGACCTGAAGTTCCATCACATAGACACTATCTACACATGTTTAACTTGCTCACAACATGGGACCAAAAGACAGAAATACTGGTATCAGATTATCATTTCATATGTACAATCTTTAATCTGACAAAAACATAAAATTTGGCTGTTGGGTGTTTGTATTTCTTAAACACAACGCCCACAGACCTTAACTGTCACCTGATTAAAAGTCCTATATTTGATTATAACAGCAGTAGCAGTTCACATTCAAAATATTTCAACAGTAAAGGCACACTAGAGGCCTAATGGGACTGAATTTCTCACCTCATCCATGACATACACAGAAAAAATTATTGGTTCAATATCTGCAAACTTGAAATCCTATTCCCAAGGTATGCTACTACACAAACACTATGATTCAGGAGCTATTGTTTGTTGAAATAAAAAATTTAAGTTCTCAATATTTGATCCATGTAACCTAGAAAGTGGGTCAAGGTCAATCATTTAAATAAAATTGGTAATCCTTCATCCAATTAAGTTTGTAATGTCAATTTCTGCAAAACCTAAAATTCAATTCCTCAGGACTGCTCTTACACAAATACTGCCACTACATAAATACTATGACCTGGGATTTATAGCTCATTGAAAGAAGAAATTATAAGTTCTCCACACATCTGATTCATGACCTTGAAAGTGGGTCAAAATCAATCAGTTGAAAACTCTGTAGCCCTTCATTCATATATGTTACAGAACCAAAATCAACAGCCTGGACCTTCAGGTTATCCAGAAGAAGTTGTTTAGAGACATGAACACATTTGACCCTTGTCACCTTGAAAGTGGGT